CATCTGAAAGACTCACATCTCGGAGGTAGGGTGGCTGCCCGAGTGTAAGGTACTCTGCATACGATACCACAGCTCCTACCTCTATAGGTTGAAAACGTATGCCCTACAGTTTTCTATCGTCGAACATGACCTGCGTTCACACGTTCTGGATGACCGGTTATTCCAAGCAAATGGAAATGAAATTACAAGCTGAGAACTATAACGTAGAACATGCAACTCAAGCAACGCAACCAAAACTGGAACACCATGTCACGATCTGGAGCAGACTCACCGTCGGGTTTCCAACTGCATTATTAAAATGCGTAATGTACCAAATGAAAAGAGGTGGCAACACTGGTATTATTGGTTAACTGACAAGCTGCTACTGATTACGTTGTTCTGAGCTACCCAAAACATGTACGCCGCTCTTTACTGTAGTATAGCATTGACAACTATCTGAGATCTTTCCTTGAAACTGGCAAAATAGTATAACCGCTTGGATTGTTGCAAAATCAAGTTTTTGTTCGTGTGTGTTATCCCTGGAACGACCCACCACATACGGTCTGTTTCGCAACAACACAACTCATGTTTAAGTACGGTTGAATGACGCACTCAGGCACTTACATGTCTTAGCAACAGCAATGGGAACCATGAGGCAACGCGATGAAATATTCCCCAAGAGTAACTTCCGTCGAACGGCGTAACAAGGCAATCAGCGAATAAAACCTTGGATGCCCTATCACGCACGTCAGAAAACCACCATGAGGTTGCCAATGTGCAGTGCGCACGACCTCATCCCGATTCGAATCGCTACATCCATCAAAGGCGGACCTTTCAACATTGCGCTCAGTGAACATGCCCCACGCCGAAACGCACCGCGGTCCACACGCTCTCACCGCCCCTCCGTTATCACTAGCCCAAATTCCATGTCAGCTGCTTCTCGACAACGGTATGCGTGAGCGACTTCAGCTAATTCGGACTCAGTCGTGTGGGTGCCTAGCGGTATACGGACAGTTCAGCGATGACGTGCGTGGAAACACCGCGCAATCAAATTTCACGTAGAAATGCAAATGCCTGAAAGGTTACGTGCCAACCACCATGATCACGCGGGACTGCTAAGCCCAGGTATGCCCCCTAGCATGCGTGTAGATTAACTGTAGCCAATCATGCCTGCGTACGAGGACGAGCGCAACTAGGCACCCGCGAAATCGCACGCAATCTGCGCCACACCCAAGCGTTTTCTGGTAACCCATGTCGTAAACTCGTCTGATATGCTGTTGGTTGATTTGGGATTGGTCACTCAACGAGTAGCGCGCTTTGGGGCGTTCGCGCCCGTTGGATGATGTTTGATTGACGTAACAATAATAATAGGTATATTTCTCAGAAAGGTGAGACACGTTCCAGAGACCCTGGACCGATCATTATGTACAAGTTTTCTCTGAAGCTGAAATTGTTTATCGGATGCGAGGAGATTCGTATTGAGTGGGATTGGATTCAAGTTGTAATTTATTCTTATGCAGCTCCAACTTTCTTCGGTAGCAAGTATCTCATCGTACCGTTGAACGAGTCGTGGTCCGGATCAACGTAAATAGAAGGGAAATAGCAAGTATTAGTAAGTATTAGTGCGATGGAGGTCGAAAACTTCCTAGGGAATTATGTACATGTGTGGAATCGAGAATAATATAGTGTGGGGAGGGTCTCGCAACCAAATTTCTGGACACAGCATAAGGAACAGCAGTATGGGTCTGGCTAACAGGGAAAAATAAGTCCACATTACTGCACAGTATAAAAGGGAAATATTTAAGCAACTACCTTATTATTGTATTGCAGATGTTGTTTACAATTAGGAGGCGCAATACGGATTTCGGATTACTTAAGATGTGTGGGTTGTGGGCTGTGAACAAGAATGCCGAACCTTTAGTAGTTTGGCTAACTGCGCTAGGAGTTTGATTATGCAGGGAATTGGTCCAACAGAACGCCAGTGATATGTTTACGAGGTTACAGTAGTCCTGAGTGGCAAACATATTGATGTTGACAATGTGTCGGTTGATTCACCAGCAAGATATGGTCAAGTGAAAACCGAAGCTAAGTGTTGGGGAGCAAGGTGGGTTAAAGATGTAAAGAAAGGATCCGGGTGCTTTACCTACCAAAGCGTCAGTGCTTTCACAAACGAATGGTAGGTGTGCCAGCGGGTGAAACGGAAGTGAAGTTACGATTGGAGAGATAGTTAACCGGACTTGGGAGTCCAGCTAACCAAGTTGCCAGTGATTCAACTGACACATGGTTGCAGTGGAGCCAAGTAAAATCAAGGGGAAGTATAGTGAGCCAAGATGGGATGAAGAGGATAACAGAAGCCTGGACCTCCAACCCATCGATGTATCAGTGGAGCCACTAATCAGCGGTGAGCTTTCGGGCAGGCAGATCCGGAGTGAGCAATAAAAGAGAAGGGTAAGCAGGGAATCAACGGGTGTTTGTTGATCTGACTGATACAGTCAATTGCAACTTTCAGTTATATGTTGTCTGGACCTTGTTCATACGTTTGTTGAATAGTTGTAGGGCAGCGCAGGAGCATAATCACATTGCTGACTGTAAGATATTCGTCAAGCTTTCTACGAAAGTTATACTCAGATGTGCTAGTACGAATATCGGTCGGCAATTTGTTCCAAATACGGGAGTACCGATTAAGGAAAAAGTTTGCTGATATGTTTGTCTTTGACCTTCTTACCATCACAGAATTTTCACTATTGCGTGTATTGTATCCATTTGGTTTCATGAGTGATAGATCAATGCTAGGGGTGTGGACATTTTTGTGCAGGATATTGAAAAAAAGTGCTAAGTTTACTTTTAGGCGTCGAAGCCATATTGGGTCAAGCTTAAGTAAGTCGCATCGCTCAGAATAGGGTAACACTAAGCTCGTACCAATAAGGCGCTTTGTAAACGCTCTTTGTACCTTTTCTATAGCGATACGATCATGCTTCCTGGAATTGCTATACACCATTGAGCAATATTCAAGTAAAGGGCGGGCGAATGATTCATACATTGAACAAATTGAATCTCGTAGAGTAAGATTTTTGAATAGTAATGCAATGCGTTGTTTAGCTCTGGCTGTTGCATAAAATGCTTGTTCTGAGAAGTTAAGGGAATATGAGTAGCGAAGCCCTAGGTCACAGATGGTCTGACAGATAGTAAGTGGTTTGCTATCTAGGGTCAGAGCATTGTGCTTAACATTGCACCTGTATAACATCGCGCTACATTTGTCAGTGTTGAAAGACATTTTCCATGTGTTGCACCAAGCCTCAAGCGCATGGAGGTCCAGTTGGATTTCCATTAGAGTATTGCTGAGGTTGGTAGGATGGAAGGAGTACACTATTTTGATGTCATCGGCGAAAAGATAAGGTGTGCCGCATTTAACTACGCTGAAGACGTCGTTAACGTAAAGTAGAAATAGCAATGGACCAAGAACACTGCCTTGTACCACCCCACTGGTAACAGCCTTGGGTTGAGATTTATGTTGTTGGATTTGTACTATCTGGGAGCGATCTGAGAGATATGAGCTAAACCAAGCCAGTAAGGGGTCCTTTATACCGTAGGTTTGGAGCTTAGCTAGTAGGCGACTATGAGGTACGCGATCGAAAGCTTTTTGCATGTCGAGATAGATGACGATTGCCGATAAGCCACGATCGTGTGAACTGACAAGGTGATTTAAAAATTCTAAGTGACAAGTGATGCAGGACCTGGAGTTCAGGAATCCATGCTGTGAATTGTTTACTAAGTTTCGAGTTAATAGGAATTCAAGCGTTTTCGACTTTACATGTCGCTCCATCATTTTAGACAATACTGATGTGTGACTAATCGGTCGGTAGTTTTTTACGTCGTACAGTGAACCTGATTTATGACGGGGCATCACTATGGCCTCCTTCCACTGAGCCGGTATGATACCAGAATTCATAGATAAGGTGAACATATTCAGTAGCAGCAAGGGGATGTCATCTCCCCCGAATTTTATGACAGCAGATGGGAGATTGTCCGGACCAGTGAAATAGGAGGTTTTAGTGGACTTTATGAGCTTTTGGATATCGCACAGATTGAATGTGATGTTGCTGAGTTGATCATTCGTGTGATGTTGCAGATCCAGGGTCGCAGGATCACTACATTCATTAAACGAGGCAGCAAAGTAGTTGTTGAACATTTCGCTGGTATAAGTCGGGTCACTCACTAAGCATTTATCTGCAGACATAAGCGAGATAACATCTAGGTTCTGTTTAGCGGTCTTGCGCTTAAGCAATCTGAATAGTTCCTGTTTTCTATTTTGGCTACCGAGTGCTTGTTTTTCTTTATCAATCAGCATGGCCTGATTGGCATTCTCCTTAATAGTAACCAATTGCTGGTGCTTTATTAAGAAACAGAAGTCATTGGATTTACGATACGCCTTGAGCAACTTTTTGAGCTTTACAGCTAATTTGTGTTGTGTATGGATGAATCCTATTTCTTTAAGGTTGAGTTTGAAAGCGTTATAGACGCAACTTACGGTGAAAAGGTATAGACTATCGTCGAATTTACGTGTCTTCGTGTGGACCAAAAGTGCGGCATTCCTCCATGATTAGTTGTTCTTGCTTCCACTCTGACCATTTGAAGTACTTTTCGGACATCGCACTCGGTTACCTACAGTTTGTTGTAATAATGGTAAGTTGCATTGCAGTTCCGCGACTTAGGCTATCAGAAAATGCAATCCACAATTATGCACCTAAATCAGTGTCAACATGTAAGCAAACCAGTTCTTCGCAACACATTGCATTAACTATACTAGCTTGTTGAGATACTTTTCATGTTAGCAGCCCATTTCCATAAGATTGCCTCTAACACGCTGTTGTCCCATCACATCGGTAACGCGCATTCTACTTTATTCGAACGTCTATTCTTTACTCTAGCTATTCTAGCCTTGAGCGTCTTACGGGAAGTGTTAAGCACATGCTTTTTCATGCATCACATTTAACTGATACACAACCGTTCCTTTTATTCAGACCTTCCACAGAGCCCAGAGGTGATTCGGACCAACAGTAAATGCGGATCTATTTTCGTGTCCTGGAATCCACCTGAAGATTATGAATATGTTTCATCCTTCTCTGTCATTGCTTACGCAGCCAAAACAAAGAAAAAGGTTGTGAGTGCAACAACGAACCTAGAGATGTGGTTACACGATTTGGAGTGTGATGAACGTTACTATTTAACGGTTTATGCGTCCAACGCTTGTGGGCTCTCCAAAACGCCGTCTATCATGGAAGTCATAGCCATGGAACGAGGTAACCACGCCCCGGATAACCTAACGCAAAGCATTACATGAAATTTTTAGACTGCAGGGAGCGCAGAGTACAGTAAAATTCGTTAAAACTACTTATATGTTTAAAATGTTGTGGTCTAAGTGATTGTTTATATGTGGTCAAATAACTCATACAGAAATTTCAGTGAGGAGACGAATATTGGCAGATGTATGCATTTCGTACCGTCTTGTCAGTGCCGAAAACAGTTAGATGGTGCAAGCATACACGCAAACAAACAATAAGGTAGACTACGGAATTCGTGTTAATACACCTAGGACAATCAGGTTGACCGGCAACTGCTCTTGGACGTAAAACACAGTTTTACTCTGGTTTGTTGTAATGCCGGTGGCTTGCGTGGACGTGCGGGGGGTTGTTTCCTGCGCTATCTCGCATGGACCCCCCTTTGGCGAGTGCAGCTTCATTCGGGAACTCATGGTCCTATCCGTTCTGCCCACGTAACTAGATTCGCAGTTACATTCATCAGTTGTAATTGGTCTTCCCATCGTGATTTTTGTCTTGCTAAGTAGAAATAATGGATTATATTCATGCGGAATATCTCCAAAGGAACTTCCGGTCATTCATATGTGAGGCTGATTATCTTCTAAACTTATTATCTACGGTCGAATATATTGCACACAAACGCAACGACACGTTTAAATATTTTGGTAATTTTCCATTTCACGAGTTTAGGAGCAGCGCAGATAGACAGAGAATTAGAGGAACTAACCAGTTAAGTCTGGTGGGGTTCTGTTTCTGTTAAACAGTCGTGATTATGAACTTTCTAGCCACCAGAAAGTACTCGGATGGTGAGTATCCCCGCACCCTTTTACGAAAGAGCAACTGTTTCACTGAGAGGTCATTAAGAGATCCAGCTATAGGGGCGGCATAGGGGCGGCCGGTCGGTTTACCTCTGGCTGCTTGTCTCATAGGCTGTATTTTAAGTGCCGTTGATTGTTTAATACCATATATAAAGGGTAAACTATGGCTAACGGTCAATGGTATATTGCGGAGAAAAAATAGCCGACTTTTGACATGTCCCGCCAGATGATCGGTTAGCGATGAGCAAAATAAAGGCCATACTGGCAGTAGGAAATAGTGAACCATCGCAATTTACGAACTTGCAGAGTACAGCCTTCCTGTCTGAGCAGTTCACAATTGGTTTTGTGTATTATCCAAGGTTATCATCTGTGGTTTTCTGGCAAACATGGGGGTAGGTTGGTTTGTTGTTGTCTTTCTGCTGTCTGTATGGGTCATTTGGATTAGGTGATATAGTATCTTATGACCAGTGCACTGTCGACAGGCACTGTGAACACAGCTAATGTGAGGGCTGAAATAATAGCTTCTGAGAGGGTATTCAACGTGTGGCAAACACGCAGCGAGAAGAAGTTACTTCGTCACTCCAACCGACTGTATGGCACTGCAAATGTGAGGTGATGATCTCTCAGTTGGATGTTTTGACTCAGCTTCAATAGTTGATGGCAGAGGTGATTAGTTTGGTTTAATATTCGACAAACGATTCTTAGGTCATCACGCAAACGCCGATAACGTTTAGCGAAATTGTCAAGCACTGTGAGACGCTGTTCGTGTGACAAGTGGCGCAGCCCCTTGACATTTTTGGTCGCCCGAAGTTGTGGAATCTCCAAGGCCATGAGATCCCGTTTCAGCCATGGGTGCCATGCTTGAATTGAATATTCAACATGAAGGCTATGTTAGCGGGGAATATATGGCGGGAAATCGACGGTGCGGATTGCCAGAAAGCTCTCCTAAAACCCTGCGGTTTGGATCCCCTTCTTTGATGCCTTTTTGGACCACTGCCAGCAGCTGAGAGCTTCTTGGACCAACACACCGAGATCTTTTTCCAGAGAACAGTGTTGCAGATCCTGTTCCCCCAGCTTATATGTGTGAACCATTCGGTGTCTTAAATGGAGCACTCGACATTTAGCCACGTTGAAGAAAATGCGATTTTGGATCGAACAACCATAAATGATGCCAAGGTCGATTTGAAGCTGGATGATGTCCTCTGGAACACTTATCTCTCGCCAAAGTTTAATGTCATCGGCGCAGAGTAAACAGTTTGACGCAACTTGACTCACCAGATCGTTTATGAGGACCAAGAATTGGGCGTATGGTGAATTCACGTACTCTCACTTCCAGAAGTCTGTGCGAGAGAAAATTGTAGATCCACCCGAAGAGAGGGTCGGCAATGCCACATCTTTGAAGTTTGGCGAGAAGGATACGATGGTCCAACCGGTCGAATGCCTTAGAGAAATCAAGGTAAGCCACATCAACTTCTGAACCAACATCCACTGCTTCGGCCCAGCTATCTTGTGTTAACAATAGGTTGGTTTTTCAAGACCGATTCTAGTGGAAGCCGTGTTGTTGCTGAGTAATGTAACCAAAGTCGTCCAGATAAGACGTGAGTGTGTCGAAATGATAGCCACCACAAGTTTTGGAAGAATTGGTAGAAACGTCACTGGTCGATAATTAGCTGGGTCGGAAGGACTACCTCATTTGTAAACGGGAAGGATTATTCATGTTTCCACATTGCAGGAACGTGCCGCTCGTCAAGGCAGTACTGGAAAAGCCGCACCAAAGGTTCCGCCGAAATATTAGCCACCACAACAAGCGTTTTTGGACGGATGTCGTCAATTCCTGCACAGGCGTGTATACGCATGGATAGCAACTTTCTCATCGCGATGTCTGCCGTTAAATGTATATGAGTGAGTTCTGGGGTGGACACCATAGATTCCAAAGATAGAGGTGACCACGCGACGCGCTGAAACGTTGGTGCATATTGCTGTTGAAGAACATCCGACACCTCTATAACAGTCCGAGTTAGACCAACCGCTGTTTGAAGAGGATGAACTCCACTTTTCACCTTACGGAGGCTGATTAATGCTTCTACAGAAGCTTAGGATTTGAAGGTAATTGCCCGCCGAAAAATGTTACAAAGCCACTTTGCTTTCGCGCATTAATTGTGTATAGTGGTTACGGTGGACAACATAGGACTTCCAGATACTCGGATTCGGATCGGTTTTGCGGATATACCACGCCGCGTTGAGCATCGCCATGCGTTTGTGTGTCCTACTCAGTCTAAACGACGCCGTTTCGTCTTGGTTTCTGATGCCCCATTATCCATGGTGTTAAACTTATTGACGAAACGTTCCTAGGCAAATCTGGTGCATCATCGGTTAGGAAACTCCAGTCGATCGCTTCAACCAGTCGGTTTAATGTGTGGTAACTGGTTACGGTTCGCGTTGCTTGAGTTCTGTCCTCGGGATATTCAGCATAGCAAGTGTACATAAAATGCAAAGTTGCATGATCACTGCGGCCTAGAGGAGTATCGACTATGCCTCTCTCGCTAATCAGTTCTTCATTAGTGATTATTCTGTCTAATAGGAATGGCCTGTTATTTCCCCTGAACCTGGAGAGCGAAGTGACGTGACAATAAATGGGAAAGTCTGTGACAAAATCTTGTAGGTCTGCTTTGAATTGCTCTCTTGGTGTGGCTTGGGAGTCTAGAGCATGTATGTTGAAATTGCCAGAGACTAGAACGTGCGTGTACTCCCTGTTTATCACCTGCCTCAATGCAGCCACCAAGTTGCAGTCCATCTCAGTTGTAGACGATGGTGGGCGGTAAAAAAGAGCTACTAGGCCAGAGTCGTTCCATCTCAGCCGGAAGCTGCACCAAATGGAGTCAGGTACATCGGTTTGCGTATCGTGTATGGATTCGCACTGCAGGCTGTTACGAAAGTAGTGGGCTACCCCACCACCTTTGCTGGCTCGATTATTCCGGACAACGGATATACCTGTTAGCGCGATTTCGGCATCCGTTATCTCACAGCTCAACCATATTTCCGTGATAGCGATGAAGTCCCAAGCTGCTGAGGCGTGTCGAAGTTTTACTTCAGCGAATTTGCTGTGTAGACCTTGGGCATTTGTGTACATGCCTGAGAGCTTCTCGGAGACCAAAATGGTGTTGAGTGGAATGGATGAAGCAACTGAGTATACGCTGACCGATGTAGGGTCGGCGGCTAATCATTTTTTAGATGGGTTGTAGACATCCCGGGACGAATTTGGTATATATTCAAGTATCAGATGCCTCGGATCCCGATGTTCTCTCGTGCTGTACCATGTCCCTCTGGATGTTATGGCTACTGTTGAAACCGTCATCCAATCAGGTCCTACAGTTGGTGTGTTTATTGAGAGTTGCGCCTCCACTGAGTTGTCATTAGGAGGTGGTGATGTTCATGCTGCTTTCAGACAAATTTCCGTTGGCAACCTGCTATGGACTTTAGCCCACTTCTCTAGAAGAGTTTATGCCGTTAGTTCTGATTGCAACACCAGTTTCAACAGCCTGGGACCGCACCCCTTATAGTTCGGTGATACGGGGATCCTTGTCAACGTGGTGGCCACGACATTTTCGAGAGAAAGAGCTTTACGCATGTAATGCCATTGCTCCCGGTCATGTACCTGCGCATCGTCGGAAGACGAATCAGTAAGCTCAGGAACATCTCAATCACAGTTTGTTTATCTTCACCTTTTCTGTTCCTCTCTCTGTTAGTTGCATCCGCTGCACGTTCTTTCTCCGGGGTTTCAGCTAGTATGCGCACTCCACTTGAGGCATTGCGGAGTCGATTCGCAGACAGCAGCACGGCCTCCGTCTCATCCACCGAGTTTAGTGTCACCCGAAGTAACCGGGGTTCACAGTAGTGCAATGCGTTTGGGTGACGCGAGATGCGTTTTAATGTCGTGGAATCAGCATGGACACTGATTGCCGTACAGATGAAACTCCATGGATTTCTATCGTCTGTCAGCTTACCATTAATTATTTTTGCTTTGGATTCTGGGACATTAGTGCACACAAGGTTTAAGTCACCATAGTTGCGCCTGGTGGCTACCGGTTTTGGAGCCCTAGTTTCCGGTGCTTTTGCTAAATTTGTGAACGGCGCTGATGCAGGCCATCCGGGCTGCGACACTTT